TCTAAGTATTTATATGCAAATGTAAAAGCTTGAAGTGTAGCTGGTGAAGTTGCTAGAGCCCTGCGTGGAAAAGGTACCCAAACACAACACACAGGAGGGGGGGGAATAAAAAACCACCCCAAAAGCTGAAGCCTGATAGTCACAGCTTCATACTGGGTATGATACAGGAACTAACTTAAGGAAAAAAAAAAAAAAACTGTGGAACTTGGTCTTCATAAAACTCATCAAAAACAGTCATGGTAAACCTCTGATCTTGAAATTCTGAAGGCAGATCGTCTTTGGGAGAAGAGAGACGCTGCTGTCCAAGAGAGTAAAACCCAGAATGGAAACTCCCAGGACTGACCACACGGCTTCAGACCTCTGGGGTGAAAAGGGAGATTCAGCATGCTGCTTGTGCTCCTTACTCGAATTTCAGAGGCAAAAGCTGCAAAACTCAGAGTTAGGATTTAGGAGACTATGGGTAAGTGACCACACCAGGACAGAGCACTTCTAGAGTAGCAGGTGAGTGCGCGCGATGCTGGCTGCTGACTGGGACAGACAACTCTACTGAAGTGCCCACCCCACCTTCACTGGCATCAAGGTGGGCACAGCAGCCACAGCAGAGAGATGCCCAGGAGAAGAGAGGCTTTACTGGGAGCCATCGCATGGCACGAGACAGACAAGCTTGCCTATTTAAGGTGAGTTTTTAAACTGCATATGGCATTGCTTAGCTCACATGCAGCACAAGGTGAGAAACACAAAGCTGACCTGAAGGAATGCCATTTGCTTGGAAGATGGCATTTTACAAGGGAAACGTTACCCTAACCAGCTAGAAGGATCCCTGGAGATCTGGGGAGGAAAGTCTAACTTTCCTTCTGTGTAACATATAATCACTGCCAATCCCACCCATGGGAAACCTTTCCTCATTCCACATTTGTGCATATGTTTCAGCTCCTGCCCAGATTAGTGAAGAAATCAGAGATTGCCTTTGAACAGGTGCACCTGTGCTTTAGGAGGATACTTTGGTTTCACGCATTAAACTTGCTTCTCAGTGCCTGCAAGCGCCATTACCCCAGCCTAGAAGGAAATGTACACGTGTTTGGGCCCCAAAACATTAAAGATATCATCAATCACTGATTTCCACTTGCTTGGAGTAGATCCCCCTCTAATGACCTTTCCACGTTTTACTCTACCATGCCTGTTACTTATATATCAGTAACCAAGACAGACAAAGGACTCAAGAGGCGGCATCTCTTTTGCAGAGAGCTCTCTCTAAAATAACTGCAGAGTTATTACTCTCTAGATAAAACTGAGAAGCAGTGCAGAGATAACAATAACAGATCTTTCATGAGCATAGTTTTGCTTTATATCAAACTTGTCCCATAATTCAGAATATATATTACACTTAACAGGAACAGAGCAAAGTGCAGAATAGGACTCCTTTCTGAAAGAAAAGCTGGATACAAACTTGGTGATTATGTAACTGGTTAAGAAAAATAGATAGATTTCGCTACACTTTATGTCATGGACTGTCAATCCCTTTTATAATCAACATTACATTGGCGAATAAGCATTCCAGAAGCTGAGCAGCATCAAGGCCACAGAAGCCAATCTCCATCCAGTGGGGACAGGAACTTCTGAGGGGACAAAGGGATTATCCTGATATTTTCACCAAATGTCAGTCGGTGTTAAATGGCCCAAATAATACACCAACAATGAAGTTCCCCCCAGCACCCTCAAAACCACATGTCCTGCAGTCAAAGTGAAGTGTAACCTGCAACACAAACTTCACCGTTGTGCAGGATTAACAGGAGACCTTACGGGATCTAAACTCAGCTCCTCACTAATCACTCCACAGGGTCTCAAGGCACCAGAGGATGCTGGGACCTCTCATGTCACAGGTCAGCTACATGGGTCCCAAACAATGTCATTAAAGTCCAGGCAGCACAACGTTATTGCACTTACAAAACTTTAACAACTGAGATCTTTGTGGGCAGCAAACGTTTAACAAAGAAACCATGCGGGTCAGCTACTAAAGCAGTTGTCATTCTGTGTAACCATTCTGTGTTTAAAGGAGAGGACAGGAAATTTAATTTGTAATAAAACACGGATGGGTATTTCTGGCAGGTTGCAAGCCTTCCATTCCATTTCCTAAATCGGTGCTGCTTAAAATCCTGGGAGATAGTCAAAACCCAAATGGACATGGTCCTGAGCAGCATGCTCTAGCAGACCCTGCTTGAGCAGAAGGGTTGGACCAGATGATCTGCAGAGGTCCCTTCCAACCACAACTATTCTGTGATTCTGTGAAAATACTTGCAAACTACTGTAAAACCCATGCGTCACTTCTGGCTAGTGTGTTAAGTTTTGAGCTCTGCTTTAAACTTCTACAAATCCTTCCTTAGATGGAGAGCAGCTGCCCCGGGGACTCTGACCTCCTCAGCCCCATCCCACAGCTCTGACACACATGGCTCCAGTAAACTCAAGGAAAGTTGTAACTGAGACTTTCTCCAGCCAACTTCTGAAAATCTGAATTTTAACCAAATTAAAATAGTGTAATGAGCTTCTTGTCCAAATGAGAAGCAGAAAAACATCAGGAAAAAGACACTTTCCCACAAAAATTTAGTGCCAATGAAAAACTAATTTCTCATCCAAAAAAGCTTCAATAAAACTTCACTAGCCTAACACAACACCTTTCGTATGTGTTGGACACGCTGAACTAACTGCATATAGACCAGGATCTGAACATTTGCAATATTCACATGGGCTGCAAGTCACGGTCCCTGGGGAGCTCCGCACACAGCCAGCAGCAGCTCACGGACCATCTTGGGCAGCACTGCCACGGGGCAGCGCATAGCCCTCCGAACCCGGCCCTGCTGCCACAAAGATGAAGGTTTTGGGCAGCGAGCGCCTGCCGTGACGCCAGCCCGGCCAGACCCCGACTGCTGCTCTAGGCATCGATTCTGATGCTGCAGCAGAGCTCATATTCAGCTTTACAAACCGCCTCATAATTTATGACAGGCCATTTTTAGGGATTGTTTTCCTTTACTCCCTCCCAGGTTCGTTCACCGCTCTCCGCTTGCCTATCAAACTTCCCTTCTAATGTCATTTTCCCATAGCCAGCAGCAAAGCTCTAGGGACTCCCCCGCTCAAGAGTCCTTCCTATCGGCAGTTTTGCTAAGAACCCTTCTAGACGTTTTTCTAGTAGCACTCTCCCATCTACCCAGGGAAAAGATCCTTGGAACAGACAAATGAGGCTGAAGTCATTTTTCATTTACCTACTGAACTGGACTGTCTTGATTGCTGTCAATTGCCTGACATTGTTTGCTCAGCCCTGCACGGAGACCTTTATGTTAGTGCCATGTCCCCCTCTGACCTTAAGGAGGGCCAAATGACCCTCTTTTCCTACACAAGGCAGCTTTCCTAAGAGACTGTGTTTCTATTATTTAAAGTAAAGTGGGAACTACAGATGCATTGGGAAGCCTCAAGCCTAGGATACGGTGACCTTCAGAGCCACATATGAAGGTTGTTTCAGTTGTTCTCTGACATCTGCCTATTTTTTTTTAATTTATTTCCACTCTGTACTAAGAGACCGATATCTAAAAATAAAGCTCATCCTATATGCTCAGAACACACATGTGAACACTACCACTCACATGGACTCCAACCAAAAGGCTTATGGCGTTTTAAAAGCATTACAAATGTGACTCAGTCCCCATAAACCTTTACTGAACGTTTTCAACAGGCAGTTGCATTAAAATCTATGGGATTATCCACACATGAAGACATTTTATAGAGTCATAGAAAATTGTGCTGGAATACACCTTAAGAAGTCATTTAATCCATCTCTATTGCCCCACAGCTGGACCAGATCTATTTAATTAATCATAAGAAACAATTACAGGAACCAGTTTGTCCAGCTTTAGGAAACATTTTACCAGAGCAAAATTCAGCTATGCTACACAATAGATATTGCAAATAAACAAATGTAACATCAAATAGTAGTTTTTTGAAACACAGTTGCATGATGCAAATAAAAAAGAAATTTTTCCTGCTCTTTGAAGCTGAATTTCCTAAACTGTCATAGGCTCGATAGCCTTGTTTGGATGCATTAAGTATGCAGCATGAATTTTCCAAGGATATGCAAAGCAATACCATGTTCTCCACTAACAAAGTTGCCCTGAAAATAGGTAACAGTAAGGTTAAGACCCAAAAAGTTCTCCTTATTTTTTCATGTGTTTATTAATTTTTAAAATGAGGAGGAGAATTAAGAGCTTATTGAGCTTGATTAGAGATTCAAGCCCCTCACGAGCTGGGACAAGAGAAAGATTTTAGAGAAAGGAGACACAGGAATATCCCACCTGCCTTCAGTCTTTTTTTAGAGCAATGCTCCTTGACTTAACATTTTGGATATTTTGAAAGGTCAAAAATCCTGATGCACATCACAGGACAGCGCCCTGCCACACCTTTATTTTAACAAAAATCTGTCACTTCCTGATGGATTCTTTTATAAGCTACTCGGGAATTTCCATCAGCACTCGGACAGGAACGCAGCGATTATTCTCTTTGAAAGCACGGAGCAGAGAATGACATTTCAGGAAAGCACACGCAAAGCAAAAATAATTCAGTGCAAAGCTGCTGATTCCTAGGAATTACCCATTGGATTCCCAACCACCTTATCAAAAAGCCACAATGCCCAAGTCTTACACTTCATTTTAACTCCTTTTAAAGTGCCAATCACAAGTGCAGCAGCAACGTGTCAACGTGCATATTCTTACTCCTGTGTTTGTCTTCCTTAAAAATCAACACCAATAATAAGACATTGACAGAGTATGAAACAGAAACACCAAGCATTCCCTGTTCCGTTCTCCTTCCTTTTTAACTAGAAAAAAATCTTCAATTAGAAAATTCGAATGTATTGTACAAGCGATGGGTTTTCTGCTCTGATGAATCTGGCTACTCATGCTTTGAGACACTCCTTTTGCTGCCACCTCCAAAGAGCAAAAACGTAAAGTTACACTTACCGCTCCAAGCATAATTCTGAAAATCAGCCACCGAAAGCCCCAGATGACGATGGTGGAAGGAGGAGTGTAACTGGGCACTCGGGAGAGGGTCCAGAGTGGGCAAAGGAATATCCCCAGGAAGCCTGTTTCCAGCAGCTGTGATTCCCATCCTGTAGTGCCAACGTGTGAGAAACAAACAAACAAACAAACAAACTTTAGCCTAGAACTCTTAGAAACTAGCCTTTCACAAATTTTAAACATCCAAGAAATTTTTTTTTTATTATTTAACTTGAGGCAACTCAGTCATCAATAATACACATATCATATTGGCTGAATTAGCTATATGACATTAAGACAATTTATGAGACAGTGTCAACGTCAGTAAACATCTATAAACACATTTCCCACTATTATCTTTAACATTTCCCACTATTATCTTTAATATGTAAGACTATATCATCTTAGTTTTTCCATCAACGATACGTGCAAGTACGTTTGGTGAATTTGGCTGTGCTGTTTTCTCCAAGAGTGTAGTCGTCATGTTTCTTTGTTGTTTACATAGTTATTTTATGCGACATAAACCAAGAGAAAAATATGTGCTTTTATGAAGCAAAGGAAAAATACAACTTCAGTGCCCTGGGAATTGGCAAGATGACCCAAGAACATGACTAATTAGTGCCGCTATTGATCACTTTAAATTATGGATTGAGTGAGCCACGGAGAATATGAATTAGCAGAGAAACTTCATTAGGGAAGGAAAAAGGGAAGCTCATACCACGACGACTGCATCTAAGGAGGCCTGTTACTGTCCAAGAACTGTCATCTGGCACAACCTCAACTTCACAAGAAACAAGCCTTTACAAGTAACCTTAAAACTTCAGTCCTGTGCTGTGTGTGCCTAATTCAGTTCTGTACAGATCAATATATATTTTTCCAGGACTTGCTGGTAACAGGGTAGAGCACCACCTCCTCAAAGAGGCAACAGGCTTCTCAGCAGCTGTTGTGCCGAGGCGCTCGCAACACCAACACGGCAGCTCAGAACATGCCAACACCTTTCCATCTCTCTTTGACAGAGAAGAGAGCCATCCTCTTCCCGAGAAAGAGGATACCTCAAATAAAGTGATATTTTTATTCAGTCTACATGTATCCATCAATGCAGCCACCTGTAACACAACTGGTGGCATGCAATCTTTTTTACCCGAAAAACTGGAGAAAGTAGAAAACCTGTGAGCAAATCATTACTGCAAATGTGGCTCAAAACCTCCTTCTGTGTCATATGCTGCTGTCCAGAGCCTGCAGTGTCTGATAACACTCACAGAGGATTTGCATCATGAACCCACCAGGCCCCAGACGCTAACGAGCCAGATCTTCACCGGCCTGCGCAGCCCAGTTCCAGTGACTTCACTGGACTCGTGCCAGGTGGAAAAAAGGGCAGTCTTCTATCTTCAGAAGAGGATGATTAAAATCACGTTAAGTCCTATTCATCATCAGCTTTAATATACAACCAGAAGCTTTGAATCTTTAATCACAAAGAAAAATCATAATGAGAAGTAGTCCAAATCGTCCATCAAACTTGCTTTACACACTACTGGATTTGGTGTAATTACTCTAGATTTAATACCAGTATAGCGGAGATCAAAAGACAGGCTTATAACCACATGACAAACCTGTTACCTGAGAACCTGTATCACTTTGGAGAAGAGTGGGTACAACCTACTTCATGCAAGTCAGACTTTGCATTTTATTTTTCCAGCAAAGCATACAGCACAAATATTGAAATGATCATGCAGCAGGAGCCAGAACACAGCAGCTATGTTTTGACAGGTGAAGTCAGACCTCCACCACATTGTTAAGAAACAACATACTGATGCCAAAAACAAATTAAAGTTCACTTACACCAACTCTATCCTACCTCTAGTTTTATTTTATATATATATATACATTATATATATATATTTAAAAATATTTCCATGTGAAAAAATAGCACTTTGAAGCCATGGTGAAGG